AGAGAGACAGAGAGATATGGAGAGAGAAAGAGAAAGGGAGAGACAGAGAGAGACAAAGAGAGAAAAAGAAAGACAGAGACAGAGACAAAGAGAGACAGATACATAGAGAGAGACAGAGGAGCAGACAGAGAGAGATATTCATGTTCTGTCTGGACTTATAATTACTTTTAAGTGAACTGGGGAAAAAAGAGGGGAAGGACTAAGAAAAAAGGTGTTTGGCTGAGTGACTGGAATACCATCTGTAGGCCTAGCAGGAAGATGAGAGCAACCCTAGGAGGAAGAAGAATGAAATACCAAAGCTGAGAAGGGCCTGGTATGTTCCAAGAGGTACAGTCCTATCAATGATGCCAAATTGGTAAAGAGTGGAGGAGCTAAGATTATTATCCCGCTTAAGAAGAAGACAAGTAGTACTTAAATATTTGTACACTGTTGTTTAGTACACAGAAGATAAACTTTATCAGCTTGGTGATTTTGAGTGTACAGTTTAGCAGGAATAAACACATGTATCCTAGTGAAACCAAAAAATCCCCCATCTATGAAAAAAATTTTCACTTTCCAAAATTGAATTTGTTTATTTAACAATAAGTCCCCAGTCCTACTCCTCTCAGTCCCTGGAAACCACTCTTTTGTGGAAAATAATTACTTTAAAGGGGTAGAAGGAGAAGCACCTTTATGTCAGGATTAAGTAATTGTGTTAATGTTGCAAAACATCTTCTTTTTTTTTATTCTTTTATTTTTTATTTTTTTTTATTTTTATTTTTTTGTTTATTATTTTTTATTTATTTATTTATTTTTTATTTTTCAACAAATAATACACTGCATATATTCTTCTTAGTGGTTAATTGCTGTACAAGATGCGGACTTGTGATCCTATTTACAAACTCCATTAGAACAAATCATTCTATTCATTAACAGAATGTAACTATATATCTATCCCAACCACTTTGAATACACAGATACAAAATGGACATTCATCTGTATACCCCATTTTTTCTAAGTTCCGTTATTGAATATTATAGGTGTGTAAACTCAGCAAAATATTCTAAAAGAGTCCAGTAGCCCATAATAGCATTGGGTCTTCTGTTTAATTGGCAATGTCATAAATTATTTACCTGAGTCCCGCACAGCTCAACTTAACAGCATGGCTTTATTTCTTATAATTTCGTCTTCATACTTTTCTGCTGGATGGTTAAGACCAAGGTAAAGCAGGACCTATGCAGCAAGAGTTGTAGTAACCTTCTCTTTATCATTTTCCTCCAGCCAAAGTTCACCCTTGTCTTTTACCGTGGCTCTAACTCTACTTTCCTATCTGTCTTGTCTAACCAGGATATGATGTCCCTGAGAACAGGAAAGCTCAAGGACCCCTCCCTCGGCTCAGAACCCTTTTATCATGGAATAACACCCACTAACTTTTCTTAAGTGTTTCCTGCTTGCCAGTCACTGGGATAAAAGACCTTACACTTTTGCCTTTAAGATCTTCTCAGTGATTCTGCACTGAGAAATTGCTAAACCTGTCTTTTTACAGATGACAGGCCACAAAAATCATAATTTAAATAATTTGCTCAAGGTCCAATGTAGAAACCAGGATTTCAATTTAGTCAATCTATTTGCCAAACATGGACATTTTCTTCAGCATCTTTTTCTATAGGAAGATGGAACTTTCACATGCAGGTGTCATGTGAATGGTAGAAATCAATTTTCTTTTTAGGATTCTGTTTCCCAGAACATAGTACCAAAGCATAGTAGCAGATATTTCTTAAAACTGAAGAAAGGATGGGTAGGGTGGGAGTGGCACTTTTTCTATCTGAGGAAGTTTGGATTACACTGAGTTAAACACAAACATTATCCTACTTGCAGGACTTGTGCCATAGATTATTTTTCACTTTCATGAACTTATTTTTCCCCTCACTTTATGATGGTATTTTGAATCCAGTATTCCACAGGAAAACTTGGGCAAATATAAGGAGTGGCTTTCAGAAGAATTTAACCACCACTGCCATCTGATGACTGGCCAATCAGAATGAGCAGTAGCCTTAATAGAGTGTGAGTTCCGGGACTTGTGGATGTGTGCTGACGTTAACTATCCCCTGGACAAAAGAGAGCTCACTGTAACCAGTCTGTACTCTCAGCAGATGAATAATACAAGTAGTGTGGAATAATCAGGTCATGCCTATGTCCTGGAGAAAAGGAGAAGCTCCCGTCTGGAAGTGTTTGTTGGAGAAGCCGTGTTTGATTTGGTCATGAGCTTCCGAATGTCTGCCATAGTCCCCTGCCCAACCTGCAGGTGAGTACAGACAGAGATGACTAAGTAGGAGGAGCACTGGCTTCAGAGCCAGAGCATCTGAACACAGTCTGAGGTCCTTGGACACCGGAGGCCACTTCCCACTGCGAGACAGGCCTCCACTGCCTGTCTTTGTAGTGCATGGAGTGCAGCAGGTTATCAAAGTTCTTTTCCATATCTCTTGCAATTCCATCTTCAGGAGAGCTCTTAGATTTAACTGATGTTTAGCTTTGCTAGGTAACCATGCTTCCTCCACCCCTCAAGTATAGACAATGGATGTTTCCTCCTTAACTGTCAGACTACACTGCCACAAAGAGAAAGGCCCTTGAGTTTCACATCTGATTCTCTTTCCTGCTTGACACGTAGCCAGGAGTGAAGTATCTTTAATATTTACTGAAGGGCTGTAAATCTCTGTACTCTTCAATCTTTGATCATGTTAAATATTCTAAACTTCTTTTTTATTTAAACATGTCTGACCGGTCTAATCATGGTCTGATGTGCATTCCTAGCTCTCTCTCTCTCTCTCTCTCTGCATCTTCTGCAATGAGAAGCGAAAGCAAGGAGGACACTTAGAAGAACTGCTTAATGCTTGTGTCAGTTCCATTGCTACTTAGTGGAAGTTGAAGCAATCTAACTTGGGGAACTCACTACTTTGATTGATGCTTAGGAAATTACCACAAAGAAACCCAAGAATGTACTTATTTGAAAATATTTGCCACTATGTTGTTTGTAAAGATGCAATATCTGAAATATGTTTTGTGCACAAAACAAATTTAAGTAAATTATGTTAGAATGATAATTCTATACAGACATTTAAATTTTAATTTGAATATGACAGATAATTTAGGAGACCCTCTATAGGTATAAACCCTATTACTTCCTACACGCAGGGTAGAAAGAGAGTGTGGACAAAGAAACTGGTTGATTTCTTTGGAAGGTGGGATTATGAATGAATTTTTTTCAGTCAAGCCTGTATTAATTACAACATTCTTCATATAAGACACAGAGAAACATATGTGTGGTGGAGTAAGCACTGACTTCACAATCAGACAAATTGAAATTCTTCTTACACTTGTATAAAACACTCAGAACAAATAACCTCTCAAAGTCTGGTGGGTAGAATGGGAAAATCTTTCCTTTAACTACAACCCAATTGAGCAAAATTAAATGGGACTTTATCATTGTGTGGCAGAATAAGAGTCTGACCTTTGCTAATCTTGCTGATCCCTGTTTTAAACCATCAGTTTCTAGAATTAGCGGGAAGCACTGCAACATCCTGGTTCTATATTTGGCTTCCAGCTCCCCCATGTCCAAATTCTAGTGACCTTGGGCCAGAGATCTTTCTCAGCTTCAGTTTCTTCAGGTAACTTTACCTGGTTCTTAAGCAACATTCTTCTTATCTAAGTTCAGAACTAGGTGAGAAAGAGACACATATGTCAGCAAGATAGAAATCTGAATTAGCAACTTTATTCCTTTAAAACCTTTTGGAAGATATTATCAAGAATTCACAATATGGTTGATTTCCTATTCCAGATCTTTCCCTCCCAGCCACATACAGTGCTGCAGGACCATAGAAACTCCTATTTTGGGAGAGAGCACAGCTTTCTGTTCTTATGGAAGAGAGGGCAGAAAGCAGTCAAGACAAGCAGGTTGCAAGCATAAACTTCCCTTTGCAAGTGCATAGGGACTGGTATTGTTCATTCATCAGGCTCCTTAGGGAATATTCTTATCCAGGCTGCCTTTATGGATGAATTGTTAGACCTTTGTAGCCATGTGAAGTGAAGCAACATTGGATTTGGACCAGGCATGAATCTTGGTTCCACAATTCCTCATTGTGTGGCCTTGGGAAACAGATAACCTGAATGCACCTTGGTTTCTCCATCTATAAAGTGGGGATAGGAGCAGTAACTACTTGTAGAGTTTTTGTGAGGATTAAGCAGGCTTATATTTTTAGAGAAGCCTCTGGAATATAGTAAAAATGTTTGCTAAATATAAATAAGTAATGAAGATATAGTCATTAATTATATGCCTTCCCCACTCCATCTCTTGAATGGATTTAGGGCACAGTGATGACATGCTGATCACAGCTATTAATGAATATTTTAGTGAGATTTCTTATTATTTGAAATCTGCCATCTTTTTACCTTTTAGTTGGAAGAAAATTACTCTGTAACTGGCAATAGAAAAGATTCTGAGCTAGACTGCCCCCACTGGTATGTACAGAGTTTTAAACTTCAGATGCATAGCTTTCTTCATCTCTCCCTCTCTCCTAAATTTCTTGGTTAAATTCCTAGCAAGATGAGGATTATTTATAATTTGGCCCTAACTGAAGCCCAGCAGGAGAACATGTTAATGAGTTCATTAATTAATTAGCTTGCATTTGCATAGTACTTTAGCATTTGCAAAGCCCTTTCGGATTCATTATTTCACTTTATGATCACAACACCACAGAAGGAAGGAGGCAGGGGTTATCCAGATTTTCAGACAAGGAGGTTGAGGTTCATTGAGGCTAACTCATTTGCCCCAGACAGCTAGCTTGGCGGCAAAGCTAAGATCAATCCCAGAGATCCATTCGTTTCAGACTGGGACTGTAGAGACTTACAAGTCGTCCTTCAAATCCTAGCTATAGTCTATAGTACCTGTATGATCCTAATCAAGTTATTCTGGTTTTATGATCAATAGATTGCTAATCTTTATAACAAAGATAAAAGCAGATTCAACTTCATTTGGACTAATATGAATATTAATCAAGATAATACATAGAAAGCACATGCTGCAACTGCTTGGTGCATGTTAAGTAATGCCACTATTGTTACAAAGAATAATGATAACTTCTACCAAGAATAAATAGTGTGGACTATGAAGGATCATGTACAAAGAACACTGGAGGAAGAAAGGTTTAGGCTTATGTCCTTTATGCGGTGTGCAAACTGGATGGTGTTTTCTGACACGCAGGATCTGAACCTTGATGATACAATATTGATGTGTGTGTGTGTGTGGGTGATAGAAGATAAAAGAAAAACCCAAAGAACAAAACTGGTCTATACTACAGTTAGCACGGTGAGGGTAAATGCATTTACTATGTTTAAGGGAAGGAAAAAAATTGTTAGGGAATTGACCTTTGACGCGGAGTGGATGGGATATTTAATACAGTGAATGTTATATATAATACAGTGTTATATGTCACTGTGGCTGTAGGGATTGCTCTGATGTGAGCATAGTGATGACATAGGAGACCTGCTGATGAAGATGGGGTCATGTTCACAGGTACAGCTCTGTCATAAAGGAGAGGGGCTGAGAGACAGAAGCCTGTGGGCACCTAGTGGTGGAGATGATGGTGGGACACCTGGCATGGGGGATGGATTCTGATGATAAGATCAGCTGCCAGTGGTGAGAATTAAATTGAGAAGGGTTTCAAGTTCATGACAGCAGGTTTACATTTTTATGTTATATTATGTAAATAATGCTTGGATACTTTTTCATTTACTTAATATTTAATTTTTATCTTTTAAGGAAAATAAAAATTAGGAAAAAATAGATATCATACAGAATTTCACTAAACATGATAATAGGAATTCAACAATGGTTGTTATATTGCATATTGGTCAAATTAATTGTTTAGATTACCAGATGTAAGCATATACAATTGGCTTAAAACTGTATAAAAAATTAAAAAGGAGAAAAAATAAGCATTAACTGCTTCTTTCAATAGGCCAGCAGGAATAGCAGTACAATTATTTAAGCTGTTCTGTGTATATACATAAATACCTCTTTTTCTCTTTGTTCTTTCCTTCCTTCCTTCTCTCTCTCTCTCTTTTTTTCTTTTGGTATTTTAGTACAGGGCCTCACTACACAGATCGGACTAGCAGTGATCCTCCTGCTTTCAGCCCCCCAAGCGCTGGGATGACCAGCTTGTGCCATCACACCCAGACTCAGTCACCTTCTCAGCACACCCTGGGGGAGGGGCCGGCATGGCTTGTGGTGCTGGGGATGGAAATCTGGCCTCTGCATTTTCCTAAGCAGGCACTTTACTCTGCTGAACTATCTAGCCTGTCTCCTTCCCTCCCTCCCTCCTTCCCTCCC